TTAATTTGTCTTTCACTTTCTTGATAGTGTCTTTTGATGCACAGCAGGTTGTGAATTTTGATGAATCAGTTTATCTATTTACTCTTTTGTTGCTGTTCTGTTGGTGTCATATCTGCAAATTCCTGGTTGAATTCAAGGTCATGAGGATTTATCGCTATATTTTCTTATGAGTTTTATCTCATGCACCTTTTGTGGAAGGAAAAATGTCTTGAGGTGAGAATATGTATAGACTCATACACAATGGGATTATGGTGTGCTTGATCCATGAGCATGGCATCCCACTCAACATAGCATCTAACCAGGGAGATAGCCCTATGACCGTGGTCATTGATCATATCACATAATGCACCATCCAGAAGCAGCTGTTCTGAGAGAGTGTTGGAATGGCCTGTTGAAAGCACAGTTGAAGTGCCGGCACAGAGGCAGTACTCTTTGAGGGGTGGGAGCCATCTTCCTAGATGCCAAATACACATCAAACGTGAGACTTCTAGATGGCACTGTGTCCTCAAAAGAAGAACTCACAGGGCTGGGAAAAAACAGGAGTACCTCCATTTACCACCACTCTCCATGACTCACTGCAGACTCGGTGCTGCCTATTCTTGCAACTTTGCATTCTGCATGGTTACCCTTCTGATTCCCAAAGAAGGCTCATTCTTATCAGGTGACAGAGCAAGGGTCTCATTGAACTACAAGCTGTGGCTTCCGCTGAGGCATGCTGGACTCTTTAGAAACCATCAGGCAAGAAGGATTCGTCATCTTGGCAGGGGTATTTGATCTCGGTCAGGAAGAGGTAGGGCTGATATTATACAATGGAGACAGGGAGGAATGTATATGGAATTCAGATGATCCACTGGGTATCTTTTTGGTATTTTCCTGCTCAACTGCTACTGTGAATGGACAAGTGCAGTGACCACCCCCCCTCCCCCCCACCACCCCACCTACAAAAGGTATAGTTGCCAGGGATTCAGATCACTCAGGGATGAGGGTTTGGGTCACACTACCAAATCAGTCACAAAGACCTGGAGAGGTAGGTGGTAGCTGCTGGGGCAATTCAGGATGGATAATCCCGGAGACAGATTATGAGAACTAGTTATGGCCCGAAGACCAACTGCAGTGATGGGGCTAGTAGTTTGTCTCACTAACTTCCTTGTTCTAATTCTTCCCTAGGACAAGTGGGTCACTGGAGCCTTGGAGGAGTGGCTCCCAAGACATATATGGAGAAGCGGATTCATTTGGCACAAGGGACAGAAAGTAGCAGTAACCAAGTGTGCTGCTCAGATCTCCCACGGAGAACCATCCACAGAGAGAGCAGTTATCTGACAGTCTCCAGTTACAGGTGTCTTCAGGATCATCCTTTGGCTTTTAAGCCAACAAGCTGAGGTCATTCTGTTTCTGGGCAATCCACAGCCAATGACTGAGCATGGTGTTGTACAAGGGCTCCTCCTTTCTAGCTAATGTGGGACTCCTCTATGGACAATCTTTGGTGCTGGAGCTTCTTGGTAAGTTGGTTGAGACTTTCTCAGAACTAGAACACAGTCTGAAACTCTTCCTAATCTTACTTCTTCCTCTCCTCTTTATCTTTCATGGGCATTGCCTCCAGTAAATTGCTTGTACTTCTAAATACATCTTGGGTCCTTCTTTCCAAAGGACCTACTGTCACAGGTTCGTAAATATGATCACCATTGACAGATGAGGATATAGGCTTGGATAAATAAATTGATTCACTTCAAGTCACATAGCTCTTAATGGAATATTTTTTCCTACTTAAACGTTTATTTAGTTCCAGGCTGAACAATATTCATGAAACTATGCCTTTGATGTGCAAGTTATACATTCCTAATCCACTTTGAAAGTGTAACTACTAAAAAAGATTGTTTGAGGCAATGCTTACTCATCTCACATTGGGAAAGAGCATAATATCATATGCATTTGCTGAGAATTTATTTGTTCTTTAAAATTTTATTTGGCCAAGAGTTAATTTTTGAGACTTCGGCAACTTTTCCACTTGAAAGAAATGGAGTAGCTATCATCTTACTGGGAAACCAAAGAAAAGGTATTGATAAAAGTCAGTACCCATGGCTGCCAGACCCTATATTAGACACCCCCCTTTATTATCTTATTTAACACTCCCATCAAACCAGAAAAGGAAGTAAATCCAGTTTCCTGACCTCCAGATCAATGATCCATTCCTGTGGCCTCCAAAATGAGTATATACACCTTAAGAAATATTCAAGATGATTTATTATATAGACTGACAAAAAGAATATTTTACCCATATTTAATGATTTAAAATTAAAATTCTTTAGTAATAGTTAAAATAAGTTGATGCAGTTCATATGTTTCTTATACACAAATAGGGTATGTATGTTCAAAAATCTAGAACTCAATTAAAACAAACTATCTAAAAGTAACAAATTTTTAGTCCACCACTATTTTATATACTATGTATATAAATAAATGAGTTTATTCACATTCCAAAAAATTTCCACACACAAGTTTTAGTGTATTAAGATTTTATATTTAAAAATCAATAATATGCACAATATCATGAAAAGGCAATGTGGCTGGTATACTGATGCATCAGAACTTCATTGCTTCAGCTAAATCATACATTGACTCAGAACATCAGGCATTCTTAGATTGATACATTAAACTAGACAGGAAATTCAACAATGTACTTCATCTAGAATACTTCTCATATATACCCAAGGATCAGGCTTAGAGATGAGAGACATGAAAAATCAGAATGCCACATTATGTATACAAATACCTCCACCTCTTGTTAGCTTTGTAACAGCGACTATCATAATTTCTGGCCAAAACTATTGCTAACCATAGCACTCCACTCCCACCATAATTATATAAAAATGACAGCCTTTCACCACTAATTTTTAGTTCTGATGATGCTTTGAGGACTATCTAAGTCAGTTGAGTCTATATTGGTATCTTCAGTCATGAAAAAAAATTGGAATAAAGATCTAATGAGTTTATATGAGATGCCTAATTTTTATATGCACAACTTTTCTGCTATAGAAGACTGACTATATTTTTACGATACACATATATTTAATTACTAGAGAACCTATAAGGTTATAATTCACTCTAAATACATCCAGAGCTAGGTGAAAAACACCTAGCCATTTTATACCAAAATTTTCAAGGGTTAACAAGATCAGTTTTTATAGAATATATTGATTGGAACACAAGAGTAAGGTATTGCTATTAATATTCGTCCATTCACTAATTCAATGTATAATTACTAAGTGCCTGCTATTTGCTATACTCTATTCTAGGCACTGGGGATACAGCTGTAAACAAAGCAGAGGATTCCTCTCCACAAGCTGTACATTCTAGTGGAGAAGAGGACAAACTAACTAAATAAAATATATGCTATATTTAAAATGTGTCATAAATGCCATGGAGAAAACGAGGGAAAGGAGAACAGGCTGTGCTCATGTGAGATTCAAGTTTAAACAGTTCTCAGGGAGGGCCTCACTGCAAAGGTGACAACTGAGCAAAGATTCAAAGAGGGTAAGAAAGCAAACTATCCAAGTACAATACTTGACAGAGAATGCTCCAGAAACTAGTATTGACCTATTTCCTGGGGCACAGCTTAATATATGCTCTCTCTAAAAAGCTGAACTTTCAAAACATTAAAAAATACATACATTCTAGGGTGGCCCCGTGGCTGAGTGGTTGAGTCCAGTGCACTCTGCTTCGTCGGCCTGGGTTTGCTGGTTCAGATCCTGGGAGCAGACCTACACCACTCGTTAGCCATGCTGTGGTGGGAACTCACATATAAAGTGGAGGAGGGTTGGCACAAATGTTAGCTCAGGGATAATCTTCCCCAAGCAAAAAAGAGGAAGACTGGCAACAGATATTATCTCAGGGCAAATCTTCTTCAGTAAAAAAAATACATACATGTATATGTTCCAAAGATGATCACCTTCCCCTAAACCCTGGATCCTCTCCCATAAACACATTAAGTTGCCACCTGAGATGCTGCCTCACATAGTAACAAACTTGAAGCACAACGCTAAGGCCATAATTTTCATGACGATGACTTAGAATTCCAAATTCTGGCATATTCAGAGGGGAAATTCATAGTTTATGTGCCAAGGTCAAATGGTGTATCTCAGAAGAGAGAACTCTTCTAATGTCAGTTCCCGGGGTGATGAGGAAGCCAGGCTAATTCAGGAAAGGGCTGACTCATACAAGGCAATGGAGCAGACTGACACCTCCTAGTCCATACCAGAACTAATGGACCAGAGAAATATTCAGGTAGCCAAGCACTCTGGGGACCTTTGCAGACCAAAGCAGCCTCGCTTTTTCTCTATCCTGCAGGTTTGGCCTAAATTCTTATAGCTAAACTCAAGAGTCCTTGGTTATGATGAAAATGTTCTAAAAGATGATATCTACCATAAACAACTAGGTTATTAAACATTCTGCTAAAAACTTCTCTGGGGGGGAAAAAGGGGTCACGTTTTTGGATATATAAAATATGTAAAATCTGGGAGAACTGAGGGATGCACAGCCATTAAGAGCTGAACTTTGGAGCCAGACTGCTGGCGTTTAAGTCCCACTTTCCCCACCTGCTAGGTACATGACCCTGGGTGTTTCTTAAGGTCTATGTGTTAACTCCCTTATCTTTAAAATGGGATGGTAGTATCTACCCAATAGAGTTATTATGAGAATTAAATCAGTTAATATTTGAAAAAATGCTCAGAACACTACCTGGCATACATTAAGCACTCTATAAATGCTTTTTAAATAAAATAGAGTATAATTTAAACTTCCTTTATAATATCACTTTCAAAGACTTACCACTTTGACCTTCATCAAAGAAAAAAGATTTACTGACATTTCCTGAAAGACTTTTACCTAGAAATGTTTAAAGAACTCTTCTATATGAGTCTAGAAGTTCCAAATCTGTCAAGTTTTTTACCAAACGTTTAACTGAATTTCAAAGTGAATTGTATAAAAAATAGATGACCACAGAAGATTATCAAATGAATACTTTATTAAGAGTTATAACACATATAAAATAAATTTCTTTTCATCGTGGAGTTACCAGATTTTAAAACTAACCAACACTTTCTCATTTTTACAGCTAAGATATATAAAGAAATCCTCAAATGCCATAATTTTTGTTCAAGTGCTTTGTCATTCAACTCACAAATCTAGAGCATGATTAATCTACAAATCTAAGTATTCACAGTTAGATGAATTTTAGGCTTGGTTCTTAATGATCTAGAAGGAATTCATTTACAAAAGTGCCATCAAAGCAGTTTCATGAAACCATTTAATTTAGTGCCACCAAGCATGGACCTGTTATCCCTTGGAAACAAAAATAAAATCTCAAAACTAAATCTAGCAGACTAACTTGAAACGATTCCAACTAGCATGGTCTATATATCCTTATGGCACATTTATGACTTTGTAATATACAATTCATAATACAGGTTTAAGTATGTGGTATGGAGCTAGAAAAACCAAGGAAGTTGGATATTATAGAAAAGATATGATGTGAGTATAAAATGAGAAGACTGATTTCCTCTTGCCACATATTGAAACATGTCTTTTATCTTTATAATTACATCACAAATGAAAGTCTAATAAGATTCTTCTTTCTAGGGTATTATTACGTAAACAGCATTTGATCATTGAACACTGATCATGCTACTCATTCAGGATTGTTCTATGTTCCACGAAATCTAATAGCCCAACTTGTACATGGCACTCTTAGGGGATGATTCAGTAAAAAAACCAAAGGACTAAAAGTACAGAACAATCGAAAGCCCTCTTTTCCCAGAGGTAGCCCTCTTGGAGCAAGAAATAAGTACACTGCTTGGACTGTGTGGTGGGAGCTGGGGACTAACTCTAACTTGTTCTCCAATTCAAGTCATTTTGGCACCTTTCTGTGACCAGGGTCTCTACAGGTGGGTTAAAAGACTTTTCTGTGCTATTCACATAGAGACAATTTTTGTGATGGCTGTTGTTTTGAAATTGATTTTGTATATCTGTCAACAATGAAAAAACAACATAGAAGGCAGGCCTATTATCAAAACACGTAAGAATCCACAACTTTGTTATATTTAATATTCTATTCAAATCTAACTCAGAAAGTAATGTAAAATAATTAGAAGTAAAAAGTTAATTTTTCAAAGAGCTCTATTTGGTAAAGCCTCACATATCCACACACAAATATTCATATATTCATGCACAGGGCAAACAGCTGTATTCTGAAGCATAAATAAATCCAAAATACGACATAAGTAGTTAGATACCAGTTCCAGTAGTGGTTAATGGTCTCTGGGGATCTCATTTTAAGGATGCCAGAGGAGAGTTCTGCTCAGTTGTTAGGAGACCCTTAGTTTGATTAAGCAACTAGGGTTCACTTCATAAATTACTTTTTCCTGTATCCAAGACTCTGCTTGAATTAGCTTGAGAAACTATAAACCCATTTGAGGGTATCTGACCATTTACACAAAGGCAATGGGATTACTGCATAATGAGACTAAATATTATGTGGCTTATCTAATTAGCTTTATACCTTTCAGGATTAGTTCAATAAACTACAGAACACATAACTGAAGTTTTATATTAGAGGTCGGCAAACTACAGCATGCAGCCCACGGGCCAAACCCAGCCTGCTGCCTGTTTTAGTAAATAAAGTTTTATTGGAACACAACCACAGCTGTTCATTTACATATTGTCTATGGCTGCTTTCCTATAGTAACAGGTGAGTTGAGTAGTCGCAATAGAAACTGTATGGCCCACAAAGCCTAGAATATTTACCATCTGGACTTATACAGAAAAAGGGTGCCGATCTCTATTTTATACTAAAAGATAGAGTTAAGTAGAAGCCTATTTGAAATGTGGATTTTTAAGGGAGTTTTAGTTACCTATTAAAATTAAGATTCAGGTGACTCAGAAACTAAATAAAAGAGATACTTCTTTTTTATGAACACTATCTGTGTATTTTATGGATATAAATGGAAATTTTCTTTCAAAGAAAAAAACAGAAAGAGACAGACGTAAAATTAAAGGCCATTTCTCTGCTTAACATCATAATAAAAGGAAATTCCACACATGAAATGAACCAAAACTTGTACTTAGATTCTCTCCATATACTAAACAAATTACTTTTGGAATGTTGCTATATCTGGATAAAATGGTATCCAAATTGATCAGACATATAAAGTAGACAAATGAAACTAACACACAGACGGTTTCTAAGGAGTGTTACGGTCGCCATCTTCGTAAAGCCAAACCCAAACTGCAACCATAACAAGCTGTCGTGACAAAGGCAAAAATCTAAGGAAAAAGAAACAAAAATTCACATCAGATTTCTAACATTGACTTTAAGGAAACACTCATCCTAAGAACAACTATCTAAAGCCTGACCAACCTACCTAAAGCTACTTCAACACTTATGAAAATGGCTTATGTTCATCTCATTTTTTGATGATTTTTACTACAGTTTTATCCCCTCACATCATTAGCCCTTTTAAACATTCTAGCCCCTAAAAATTCTCCTATTTGTGGACAGCGTTAGGTTGAACATTTGTTCACATACTGGACTCACATGTTAGTTATATGTGAATCTCCCATCACATTCAAAATTCAAAAATTCATTAGGAGGTGTCTATTCATATAGTGATCTCACAGCCAAAGAAAGTGTAACTATCAGGACTTGACAACGTATCAAATCATTTCCATGACAATGGAAATGATTTTAGAACTAAACAAAGAAAACTCATAGAAATGAATCAACAGGTTGGCATGGGAGATATTCCTCAAGTGTACACTCAGCTCCGAATTACTATCCTTAGTGTTCAATAAGGATTTCTTTAGCACTAAATATGTATACATTAGTACATTTGGTGCATATAAACAAATACTAGATATTTCCCCCACCCTTTTGGAGTTTATGATCCATAGAAAACCACAAAATGGAGCAATTACATATGATAAAACATCATGATTTAGTGCAGGGATCCTTTACCAGGAAACTATAGCTCTGAGAAGGAAGATCAGATTCATCTATAGAACGTTTTCACAGTATAATTACCATTTTGCTGTTCACCCCACCCTTCTTCTGCTGGTTGTCTCTCTGATACATCTCTAATCTAGACATTGTCTGCTGAATGAGAATGATCACTTTTGATGCCTATTATTAGTGAAAAGGAATTTTCCTCCCTCTAAGGTATACTGAAATAAAAATAAAAGTGAGGGACTCAATATATATGTCACAAATGAATGGCTCATACATTTACTGTTATTAAAACTCAGAAACTAAAGATTTACTTCTACTGGAGTGTATGGGATCTAATGTACAACTTGAAGCACATAGAGATTTACTAAGGCAGCCTCCCTTAGGCAGAGAGAGAAAGAGAAGGATACCAGAGACAAAGTGACAGAATAGGGACAGCCAGAACAGAATCACACTATGGAGAACATGGAAAACTGGGCTCTAAGGGCAAGGGAATATTAGTGAGAAATTAATGACATCCACCACCGACCATCAAGTACTTGAGCATCTAGTAGTCTTACGAAAGTAGGATCTTAGGGCAACTATAAATAGATCAATTTGGTGCCACTTCAAGTATCTAAGGGAGGTAATGAGAATTTAGCCCGCACTATTAAAAAGGAGTAGATGGAAGAAGTAAAGGAATATCCAAATTGATGACTAATAGGAAGGACATTTGATGGAAAAAAGTCAAATCCAAGTCGTCAAACTTTTCTCTGCTTTGTAAAACTGTTAAAACCAGCGGTTTTCTAACTGTGGTGTCTGGATCACGAGGATTCCATGACAGTACCTCAAATATGATGAGGTAGAGAGAGGCGGCTTTATGAGAAGGGAGGAGGGGCATCATTCGAGACCCCCTTCCCCTACTCCAACTAGGCCATCTGTGCTTTTTCCTTCTACATTCGTTGGGTTTTAAGTAAGAGTTCATTAAGTAAGACAGTTTCATTTCTTACAAAGGAAAGTATAAAAATCACTGATCTGAACTACTAGAACCATGCCTCTTTTCTGTTGCAATCCCACCTTCAGTCTAATTCATTGTAGATTCTCAATGAATTTTGACAAATCCTAACAGACACTTGGAAAACTTTTGATAGTAGAATCATTGGTTCTCTACCCTTCAAAACCCCGACTCTAGACCTGTGCTGTCCAATATGATAAGCATTAGTCACACATGGCTATTTAAATTTAAACTTAGTTAAAATGAATGAATGAATTAGTAGCTACCATATTGGAGAGTGCATATATAGAACATTTCTATCATTTCAGAAAGTTCTATTGGACAGCACTGTTCCAGATAGATTTTAATGGCTACATGAGGAGTCCTGGGCTGTTTATATGCTAGTTGCATAAAACAGTAAAACATTAGGGTCACTAACCTGCTACACAGTCATATTAAATATCAAGACATTTCAGGGAATAATTTAAATTTCTGACACCTTAAAAGTTATGAAAATAGAAATAATATATCATTTATTCCAATTTCCTATGTCAACACAAAATGACAAACTCATTTAAGTATAAGAATTAAGGAGGATAAAAAATTCAAAAAATTTCCCCATGGCATACATTTCATCTGTATATCACCTACCATAATGGCTGGCATAGTTACCTCCCCTACACACCTGGACTTTCCTCAGTGGTGGCAACTGTGCCTTATTCATCCCCGTCCCCAACACTCAGCAAACCACCTGCCTCATGGTAGGCTCTCGGTAAATATTCATTAAATTAAAATGGATTACCAATAGGTCTTGAACACTGAAGAACACATCTCCCTTACCATGTCTGAAGTTACAAGAAGTGAAAAGCACAATTAGTTCTTTTTATAAAGTAGACTTTCTTCGGCAAGGCCAACCACTACCACAGACTGTCTATAATCTCACATGAATGTCAACCTCTCTGTGCTTCAGTTCCATCACCAACAGCACTAGGGGGTAATAATAGTACTTTGCTCATAAGGTTACTGTACAGATAAATAGCTGTTATATGTTTAACGCCAATATCTATTATTAAAAAAAAATTATTGTTGCCTGAGAAGTTTCTTGGAGACCCTGGCAGTGGCAGAGAAGTGCTGGTAAACTGTCCTCATCACACACTTACTGTGGCTGCTACGTTTATGTTATACTGGTTATCGTTCAGGAGCGGCTGCAGAGTCGCGGTCCTGTTGCAGTGCAGGTCGTGCAGGGAGGTGGTTGCTGCTTCCAGTAAAAAGGCTCCAAAGTAGAAGACGAACACTGTAAAATGGTACGCGAAATCCTGAGGGAGGAGGGAAAAGAGCGACATCGACAATGAAAAGACTCAGATTTTGTTGTTATTCTTTATTTCAAATGGTGAAATTTACATTCAGGAAGATTGGAACATATCAATCAAACGATCTTTAACTACATTTGCCATTTATTTTGGCTGCGCTAGCAAGGTCAAGCTATTAGAATCCAAACAAAAATCTACCGACCCAGTGTAACTGGCACAGCGGCAAACCTTTTAATACACTGAATTTTATAATAAAATATATAATTTCAGTTTAGATTAAGGTGCCATAGAGATCAATATTAATTAACATAACATAAAAAAGAAATAGTATATGCTGTCCTTAAAATTCAAATGAAATACCATTTAAATTACATCTTGTTATAGTTATTATATAACTATATTATTGTAGCAATTATATAGTTAAATAATACATATACACATTTTATTATTAGGTATTTTATTTTTGAGCAATTATTGTTTTTAATCCATTCAACTGCCACTTCATACACTACAAGATACAGAAGACCTATGAAATCAGAGAATTCAATAACTTATCTTCTGATATTCTAAAAAAACAAATAATATATCATAAACTTCTATAAAAAGTATAGGGACTTTTCATACAAAACTCAATGGTTATTAGGTTCTTTCATATGTTGCTGGCACTAACGTGAAATATACCTATTAAAATTCACATCGTCTCACCTGAATTAATATGCCATCAACATGTTGCTGCATATCTTTGTTAACAGCTCCCACACACCATGTACTTTACATTCATTACCATTCATCCTTAGAACCACTATTTATTACTCCCACTTTACAAACAGGGAATTTCTTTTTTTTAGTTAGGTGACTGTCCCAAAGTCACACAAAGATGAACTTTTGAAGGCAGAACTCAAATCCGCATAGGTCTGTCTGGCTTCAAAGTCCACTTTCTTTCCTCCCTATCAAACTGTTATTGATACAGCAATATTACAGAAGAAGAACATTGCACTGCCTTTGTAAATGCCCATTCAGCAAACAAAGCTGTCCACAGGAATTGTTCTTACCACGCCTAGAACAATAAGGACAAAGTTAACTAACCAGGGGTGGGAACTACAAAGGGACAGGGCTGAAAATGCTTTCTCCTTAACACCTCTAATTTATTAACCGACTCACAAATGCTTTCAAAAGATTTAAGAGAGGTGTTACATACTGGCCACATGTCTGATCTATAAGAGAAATGATCGAACACATGTAGTTATTCAAAAAATGTTAATTGATGAAGGTCAAAATCCAAATGTCACAATGTTTAGGGATTAAATGTAACAGAGCTAGATCTTAATTAAAGATTAGGAGAAAAATATATTTGAGATCATTAGGCATTTATTTAATTTACTGAGGTAGAGTCTCAGAAATGGCTTATTTTATCTTAAAAGGGACAGGAAAAGTTTGATGACAGGGCCTGCAACTCTTGATATAATACGACCCTTGCCTTCTTCACCAGCCTCATCTGATGTCACCCTCACATCTCTTTGAACCTCAGCCACTTCAGCATCATTTCGGTCCATAGGAAGCACTCTATACCTCAAGGTTGATACGTTTTTTTCCTCAGGTGTACATCGTTATATATTTTGAGTTCTGTGTAGATTACATCATGTTCACTACCCAAAAATTAATCACGATCCATCACCAGACATGTGTGCCTAATTACCCCTTTCACCCTCCTCCCACCCCCCTTCCCTATGGTAACCACCAATCCAATCTCTGTTTCTGTGTTTGTTTGTCATTGTTTTTATCTTCTACTTATGAGATCATATGGTGTTTGACTTTTCCCTTTGACTTATTTCACTCAGCATAATACTCTCAAGCTCCATCCATATTGTCACAAATGGCTGGATTTCATCATTTCTTATGGCTGAGTAGTATTCCATTCTGTATATATATCACAACTTCTTTATCCATTCATCCCTTGATGAGCACCTAGGTTGCTTCCAAGTCTTGCCTATTGTGAATAATGCTGCAATGAACATAGGGGTGCATGTATCTTTATGCATTTGTGTTTTCATGTTCTTTGGATAAACACCCAGCAGTGGACTAGCTCAATCATATGGTAGATCTATTCTTAATTTTTTCAGGGATATCCATACTGTTTTCCATAGTGGCTGCACCAGTTTGCATTCCCACCAGCAGTGTACCAGGGTTTCCTTCTCTCCACACCCTCTCCAATATTTATTATTTCCTGTCTTGTTAACTACAGCCATTCTGAGGGGAATGAGCTGATATCTCATTGTAGTTTTGATTTGCATTTCCCTGATAGTTAATGATGTTGAACATCTTTTCATGGGCCTGTTGGCCATCTGTATATCTTCTTTGGAGAAATGTCTGTTCAGATTTTTTGCCCATTTTTTAATTGGGTTGTTAGACTTTTTGTTGTTGAGATGTATGAGTTACGTATATTTTGGATATTAACCCCTTATCAGATATATGGTTTGCAAATATCTTCTCCCAATTGTTAGGTTGTCTTTTTGTCCTGCTGATGGTTTTCATGCTGTGCAGAAGATTTTTAGTTTGATGTAATCCCATTTGTTTATTTTTTCTATTATTTCCCTTGCCTGGTCAGACACAAGATTAATACTCTTTACATACAGTATTGTCTCTGACTGGAAAGCCTCTTCCCACAACCAATTACCATCTGCACCTGCCCCCTACTTTTGCCCCCCACCATGCCATATGCCATCTGCCTATTCCTGCCTAATTCTGTCTTGTCTCCCCTTTTCAGGAGTATCAGAATAGAATTATGGTGAAGGTTTTCCTTGTCCAATTCTGTTTCTTTCCCCTTCATCTTTCATAGGTATTACCATCCAATAAACTTCTTATACTCTAACTCTGTATGGTTTGGGCCATACTATCCAGTTATCCATATTATCTACAGGAACATATGTACCCTAAGGTGTTGGAGGAGGAGATGTAGTATGTAGTGAGAGATCACTATGTAGACTCCTGTAGTTCTAGAGTCAGGCATGTAACCTGCAGGGGGGAATTGCACGTCTTTGAAAAGCAGCTCCTGGTGTACTACTGGGCCCTTGTAGAGGAGGAACACTTGATCTCGAGACACTAAGTGACCAAGTATCCAGAACTTCCCATTATGAATTGAGTTCTATCAAAGCCACCAACTCATAAAGTCAGGCAGGCCAACAGCAAGCCTTCTTAAGATGGAAATGGCACATCTGAGAGCAATCTGAGCTGGGCTGGAGGGCATGAGTCAGCTGCCTGAGCAGGTAGCCCCCACAACACATACCAGAATGGTACTGCCTCCTTCTTCAGCTCACACCTACAGCCACATGGGGGAGGGGTTCCCTTATGCCTAGCTAAAGGAGAAAGAAAAAATCTGAGCTTGTTTATGGTGGTACAACATGTGGTTGCAAGGTGAAAAGGGACAGCAGCTGCATTATTTATGCACTGTAGCCACATTCAGGGTTGGCAATGAAAGACAGTGGTTAGGAAATATTTTCCTAATGGATGGAACTATGAGTGGTGCAGCATTTCATGCACTTAGTTTGGAAAGCAAAGTGGCCCAAGGGGAGAATACACAGAGACTCACGGTTAGTGGTAAATGGTCTGGCAGGTTGGTCAGGGCCCTGGGAAAATAAGAGACTAAAAGTTCAGAGACAAGGAAGTATGGAGCAGGGAGATGGACATACGGAATTAGGCAAGAAGTCCGAAATGTGATCTTTCTGTCCGATGGTAACGCCTCCTAGAAGCATTCACCTTGGAATTCCACACAGAGAAAATGACATGCCCAGTTCATGCTAGCCAGACTCTGTCATCAGCCACTTGATGACTGGCATTATGGGCACATGAACAGAGTGGCCATGGTTGGGAAGAGGAGGCTATGTAAAGGCCCAATAGCATGGCCTCCTAATTGCCAAAGCTGATCTAGCTACTGCCTCTTCTGAATGTTGACCCTAACAGCAACAGAGACCAACTCTGAGACCCTGATATGGCACTATCCTCACCTAGTAGCCAACTGATGAAACTGAGCTCCTTCCTTCCTAGAAGGCATAATAGTTAATTCTCACAAAAACAGACCCTCATTCTGAGTACGGATTTGATTTCCTTCCCTCACAGCCTAAGCCACCACACTATCTAGGGACTTAGAGAACTCCCGATTCAGAGGCATCCACTCAACACAGCATCTGACCAAGAGAATAACTTCTTAGCAAAGGGAGAGTGAGAAGTGGCCCAGGACCATGAGTCGTATCATATACTGCACCATCTAGAAGCTGCTGACCTGATAGCATGATAGAATGGCTGGCTGAAGGCAGAGCTTGGAGCACTACTCCGTGAGGATGTCTAGCCATCCTTCAGGATGCAGTAGCTGCAGTGAAGAAGAGTTTTCTACATGGTGTTGTGTCCTCATTAGAAGAATGGGAATCAAGGGGTGGAAATAGGAGTTTCTCCATCTACCATCATCCCAATGACCTGGCAGAAGATTGTGATTGCTGTCCCTGCAACTCTGGGCTTTGCATGATCAGAAGTCCTGGTCCCTAAAGGGGTGTACCCTTGCTAGAGGGTACAGCAAGCATCCCATTGAACTATAAGCTATGGCTGCTGCCTGTGCACTTTGGATTCCTTGTGTCCAGGGACCAAAAGGCAAGAGGAGGAGTCACCATCTTGACAAGAGTAGCTTACTCTTATTATCAGTAGAAGGAAGGGATGCTGACACACAGGAGGGCAGGAAGGAATATATGTGGAATTCAGGTGATCTATCTGGGGCCCTCTTGGAACTCTCTTGCCCAACTGTGACTAAAAATGACAACTGCAGTGAAAATGGCCTAGAAAGGATACAGTTACCAGGAAGGAGGATTTGGATTACAACACCAGGTAAGCCACGGGGACCAGGAGACAAGAGCATTGAACAAGAGGAGTTTAAGACAGCTATTGGAAGAGGGAGACAGTGAGTACCAGTCATGACCCTAAGATAAACTCCAGTTAGATAAGTTGTAGTTTGTCCCTTCAGACTCTCTCTTTCAAGTTCTCTTTCAGGAAGAGAGGCACACTGGAACCTTGGAGGAGCAACTCCCCAGAAGTGGACCTGCATGGTGCAAGAAGCGGACTGTAGCATCCATAATCGTGCACTGCATACATTTCCCTTCAAGAAAGAACCTGACATTCAACTGTGAGAAGTATCATTAGCTGATAGCTTTGGCTTCAGTGGATTTGGGATCTACTGCTGTTTTGGGGCCAAGACTACATTCTTCCTGGGTAGCATCCAGCTAATGATGGCACAATGGGCATACTGGCTGCTTTGCCCAACACCAGATTCTTAAAGGGAAGGCTGTGCTCTGGAGCTTCTCACTGACTTGGCCAAGACTTTGTTAATCGACATCACACTCTAACACCTTTCTTCCTTATCCTACTTCCTCCCCCACTATCTTTTACAGGTGTTATTTCCTCTCCTCCCTCTCAAAAAAAATCTCTAGCACTTCTAAATCCATCTTAGAGTCTGCTTCCCAGCGAACCTGGGAAGATGACATATGTGCTCTTCTCATACCCTGAGCATTTCCTTCTTGGCCATTAGCATAATTTTAACTAATGTATCAATTGTGTAATCATTTCTTTACTGCCATTGTCTACTACAACAATCTCTTTGAAGGCCACTAGCAGGCCTGTCATGTTCACCATTGTATTTCTAGGGCCCAGCATAGGACCAGACACATATTAGGTGTTCAGAAAATATTCCCGATCACTGGAGAGCTAACCCGCATTTATATTTGGCCATCCTGGACATCTTATTCCAATTCCTGCTATGTGTGGGACGTGTGCAAAAAGGTCTTCCACAAATTTTGCTCATTGTTGTGGACAATGCAGATCTAAGCCAGTGGTTCTCAAAGGTTAGCATGCATCAGAATCACCTTGAAAGCTTGTTAAAACACAGACTACTGGGCCCCATCCCCAGAATTCCTGACTCAGCAGGTCTGGATGGAACCTGAGAATTTGCATCTCTAACAAGTTCCTAGGTGATGTTGATATTGCTGGTCAGGAACCACCCTTTGTGAACCACTTGTCCTAAGCCCTTGGCATTGTCCATTGGCAGATGACCCCATCCCCTTTCTGAGTACTTCACACACTTCTGCTCTTCTGCCAATCTTCCCAGTACTCCCCAGAGTGCCCCCCACTTGCCTCCACCTTTTCCTCAGGTGAACTCAGCCTCCAGGGTAGCTCGATTTTTTTCAGCAACAAGTGACTGTCCTCTACATTCTTATCTCAAGTCCACGTCTTACTCCTCAGGTTAAGGTCAAACTTTCACTGACTAGTTTAAAAAAAAAAGCTTCATTGTAGATAAGGCGATCCTGGTTTACGTGACAGCAACATGAAAAAGGGACAACAGTCACTTTGAGTTTTAGTTTTCTCATCTGTAAAAATGAGGATAATAGTTTTCATAAAAAATTGTCATAAAGGCCAAATAAATAAATAAATGTGGGGAGAGAAAATATAGCTTAGGACATTTACAATGTTAAGTGCTGCCCATAATAGGCAAATGGTCAAATGTGTGCCAGCTACAGTAACTTTCGGGGAATAAAAGGAAACATTTAATTGTACAGGATGGTTTTTTTAGCTTTTATTTTTCTAAAGTATATCTTTCCTTAACATCCAACCTCCCAATGAAGGGAAAATAAATATGGCATCGTTTATTTAAAGTTGGGTAAAATAGTATTATTTCCTCTCCACACAAAAAAACCCAATAAATAAAAACCACCTCAAAATAAAAACCTGCTTCTCTCCCCAAACTAGAATGGGGCAAGTTTTTAGCATTAAATATACATCATTACAAATTATATTTTTATTTCCTCATTTACACCAAAGCTAGAAAGCTTGGGAAAAAATACTGAAGTCATCTACCATAAATGTGAATTTAATCTCCTGATCAATAAAAGCTAGAACCTATAAATGTTTTAGTTACTATCCCACAACAAACACTCCAAGAAAACGAATTCTTTATCAAATGCACTCTTGCTTCCTTCATGCATGGAATATAGGCGATATTAAACTGTTATCACAGGAGGAAACAATTGTCTTTTGAGCAATTGATGTCTAACAATTCCAGAATGCAGCAATTAAAAACTGTTACCATCTGGTGACAACTCCATGATATCCATGGCTCAAAAATTTTCCTGGTTGACAGTGTGCAAGACATATTGCAAAACCTATCAAAGCAACCATGTGGTCAAAAATGACTGAGCATGTAGAAAATCACATAAGAAGAGAAAAAAGGAACCCTTTCTAAATATGGCAAGGATTTAAATAAACTCCTTGAAGCCACGAGTTGGCTCTTTGAAAGTGTACCCACCATACGATGAAGCTGTGCAGTGACAACCACTGTTCTGTGTGCTGTGTGTTGCTATCACCATTTTTTTCCCTCAGTAAGAGTAGACTGCTCCAGCTATAAAACCACAGGATAAACTCCGCAGGTGACTTATGGCACAGACAGACCAGTAGGTCTTTCAAATTTCAATTGTCCTTTTTATAAAGTGGTTTAATTAAAAAGGAAAAAAACTTCTTAGATTTTATTGTCTGAACATCAGATATTAGCGCTTCAAACTGGGGGGAAATACAAATTTAGGAATCCTAAAGGATCCTCAACACCAAAGATAAGACTCGATATAAGCAAAAGGAAAAAAAAATGGTAGGGACATATGTCTAATAAAACAGCAGTGATATTGGAAAAATATTTAAACATTGGTTAGGCATGTGCATCAACCAATTAGAAAGAATGCTGGGCATTGCAGGATCCTAGAGACTCAGTACTTTTCCAGGTATTAACCCGTTGGTTGCTGGGCTATTAGGAGGTCCAGGAAGGTCCCAGAGGAAGGGTCAGGGTGATGGGGGCACAACACGTGGGGAGAGGTAGCAGGTTGGGGCAACGACTATGTATTAACAAGCAGTGAAGTACCAGTAGGGCTATATGTACATACTGGCAAAATATCATCTTTGGGCCTGATACTAAAAGAGCTTGATGGCGCTTACCAACATTAGCGATTGACTGATTCATTCCTACATTATTATGGGAGACCCAGGCATTTAGAAAGACAAGATTAAGCATCTATCTGTAACTTAAATAGGGCCTTTGATCTTCACACTTGACCAATTATTAGAAATATTTTCTCATCATTAATGAGAAATCAAGGCAAAAATGCAGGAACACACCATATGAGCAACCCAGGAAACAGACTTTCAAAGTTTTATATTGCAAGTGTCAGCATGTTTAAGGAATTATGATGATTATTGATCACTTATTATAAATAAGATACAAAGTTGAGCACTTTATAATACATTAATTCTATTATTCCATAACAATATCTGCTGAGGTAGGTATTATTATTACCCTTTTACAGAGGAAGAAATTGAAATTCATTGAGGTTCAATATTTTGCCCAAAGTGACAGTTATTAAGCAAACCAGACCCAAGATCGAAGCCTGTGCATGACCGTAACCACTGCTCTGCACTTCCCCCTTAGCCTCACACTCACCCAGGCCACCTGCCCCTGGGCTGGTTTAATGGGCAGCCACATTTGCTACACATCACTGGTGCTGATAACATTTGGGATGATGGTTCTCCTTACGCTCTGTAAATAAGACAAGAACAAATATTTTCCTCTAAAGGCCTAATCTAAGTTTGTAACTACTAAAATGTGACTGAAACCTAATGAGGGTTTCTCCATGAACTTCATCAAAGTGCTGTCCACCATGGACTGGAATTCACGCTCCCTTGGGCCAGTGTGAGATAGTCCTAGAGCAAGAATAACCACAATCATGAAAGAGGCCCCTCTATTATACGAGGGAAGGGAAAATAAGTTGATCCAATATAATGGTGTCATAATTTAAGAAACTGTGTTGACTACAAATTCAATTCTTAAAACTTACCAATTCTTGTTAATTGAGGACAGAAGTTGAAAACAAATATAAAATATCCCCTTTTCTTTTCTAAGTATTTGGAGAGTAGAAGATATAGCTACTTCTTTTCTGAAAAGAATATATGTATTGAGAATATGAAGCAGAAATCAATGGAAAATTTTAAGATATATGTCATGGCATCCATCTCACAAAGGCATCTAGTCAATAGTTCAATAATTGTAATGTAATTCATTTGTTGAATGAAATAAAACAGTCATTGAGTAAAGGTCATCTAACTCATAAAGGAGTAACAGAAAGATTGCTCAGCTCTATCAGCACAGGAATTTCACAAACTGGAACCCTGCCGTCCAGAAAGGCAGCCACATGGCAGCGCAGCCGACCTGAGGTCTGACCTTTTCTCTTCCACTAGAGGCAACAGATAGAACAGGGGATCAGGCATTTCGGGACAGAAGAAGATATTTATAAGCTTTTCACATTTTCCTGAAATAGACTTAAAAACCCCTTACCAAGAAGTTCCAATTGGCATCAATCTGAGTCACCATGCCAGAGAGGAACATGCCAAGGAAGACAAGGGAAAGGACAAACGCCGTCACAGACACGAACATGACCCATCCTTGCAGCAGAGGTAGAGGAACGTTGGAGGAGGCAACCAAAATCCAGACGAGCCCCCCAAACACCTGAAGGAAAAGAGAAAGACGGTCATCGGTTTGGGCAACAGAAGCGAACATTCTTGTATCACCCTTACCACACCTTTGTTTCTCCCAGGCCCCTGTGCACATTCCTGCAACCCCGCCCACCCTCTTTTCTCTCATTACGCCAGATGCCTTCTTCCCTCAGGTGAAGGCCAGTGCTTCTACTTGCAGGCCCAATATGACTCCACACCTGTGTCTGCACCTGCCTTCATGTTGGACTCTTGTCTTCAGCCTTTGAACAGGCCCAGCATTCTTTCATTTCTAAAAATATTTTCCTTTGGCCCTGCTGCCTCTCTGGCAACTGCTCTAAGTATTTTCCTTTTCAGTCAACCATTTTTACAAATTCATCTTTGCTTGGTCTCCACCTCCTCTCCTTGCTGTTACTCTTCAAACCACTCTACAGTAGTCCCCCCTTATCCACAGGGGATAGGTTCCAAGACCCCCAGGGGATCCTGAAACTGCAGATAATTCTGACATCTATATATACCATGTTTTTTTCCTACACATACATACCTATGATAAAGTTTAATTTATAAATTAGGCACAGTTAAGAGATTAACAACGATAACCAAGAATAAAATAGAACATTTATAACAGTATAGTGTAATAAAAGTTATGTGAATGTGGTCTCTCTCTCTCTCCTCACCCTTCTTCTTGTGATGCTATAAGATGACACAGTGCCTCTGCAATGAGATGAAGGGAATGGCGCAGGCACTGTGACGTGGCATTATTTTTGGACCACAGTTGACTATGGGTAACTGAAACTAAAGATAAAGGAGGACTATTGTACACTGGCTTCTGCTGTCACCACTTCTCAGGGAGTTTATTAGCAAAGATCATAACTTGTTAACTTGTTACTTCTAAGGGCCACGTTTCAGTCCTTATCATGACCTATTTGTACATGTGAGATTATTGCCTATAGAATAATAGTTGCAGGTGTTGTACATGATAATAAACAATAAAATCTACCATCATTTATTGTCACTCTACTATGTTCTGGGCAGGGGAATAGGTACTTTCGATACTCATGGATCTAATATTCAATCAATATCTACTGCCCATCAGGTATCGTGCCAAGTGCTGGAAGTAAAATGGTAAACAAGCTACACTTGGTTTTCATCATCACAGGATTAACAGTCTCTCATAGAAAAGAGACGAGCAAGTGATTAAAACGTTGCTTCATACATGTCACAATTGGGCAAATAGTGGGCACTGCACGTCGCACAGTGAGAGCTCTAAATTCAGATTTGACAAGTCAGGAAACATTCCCTGGAAGCAACAATCTGAAGGACATGGTTAGAGAGAGTGGCAGAGGGAGGAGATGGCTATTTCAGGGCACGAGGTGAGTCTTAAGATGACCTGGTGGGAGCTGAGAGAGAGCCCTGCAGAGCTAAAGGTCAGAGCTCAGCTTGATGAGAGCAGCAGGCACCAAGTGGGCAACGGCCCAGAGGTGTGAGCTGGGCACCGAGCTGAAGGGTCTTGAAGGCAAAGTCAAGGAGTTGAACTTCACCTGAGGGCAATGGGAGACCAGAGATGACCCTGAGCAGGAACTAGCATAATCAGATTTGTATTTAGAAGTTTCTCTCTGGCTAGAGTGTGACAATGGACTGAAGAGGAAAGGACGGAGGGCTGACGGACCACATAGGAGACTGTTACAACAACCGAGTATAATCTAGATTCAAAGCACTGAGGACAGAGAGAAATGAATGAATCAGAGAGAAATTTAGAAGTAGATGTGATGGTAGTCAGTGACTGATCAGATGTGGGACATGACAGCAAAAGAGACAAGGAAAATACCCAGATTTCTGGCTTAGGCAACTAGGAGTAAGTGAGAAAACACAGGAGGAGAAACTGTTTGGGGCTGAAGACAGTCAGTTTATGAATCTAACAACAGCGGTCTCCTCCATACTACCACTAAAGCAATAAAGGCTATGCCTCCTTTGCATGGCATTCCAGGCCCTTTATGATCTAACCTGTCTTTTTCATCCTTGTCTCTTGCCACTAAGCCCCTCATATTTTACATTACAGAAAAAAATATCTGCAGTAGAAACAAAGCTCTTCCACACCCCAGCGGCCTGACAAATGCTGGCCCACAATGTCATTCCCTTCCCACGTGTATCTGAGAAACTCCCATTCATAGCTCATTTTGAATAGCATGTCATCCAAAAAGTCTTTCCTGAGTTCCACCCAGGCTCAGGTACCCCGCCTTCCCCTGAACCAGCTCCCTATTGTGATATGTTACATCAGTGAGAAACACTGTAATTCCATGGCTTTCAGTCCACCTGCTCTATTAGACTTCTTGGCAGTATGCTGCCTTACGTGTCTTTGCATCTGAAGCCATTTATTAATTTACATAATAATCCTTTCCTAACTATCAGTCAGGCACTATGCTAGATTTGGTAACACAAAAACCTAGGCTATACACCTGAAGACACCTACAGGCAAATGGGAATCAACTTCACTGCCCCCTCCGAACACTCTCACAAACGCAAACATACACATACACACACACACACAGGTAATATCATAAGAGCATGTACATCTGGCACGCAAAAGACTCTCAGATATTTGCTTAGTGAACAAATAAACTCCTAGTTCCCATATGAAAACAGTTGGAACTCCAAATATTAAAAACCAACAATCGCTTGTATTTTGCTTAATGTTCAAATGGCACAAGTCACCAAAAGTTACAAATACAAATTTTAATTCAAGTGTCTAAAGACCCAGTCTTACAACTATTTCTACTTTGAAAACCATTTTTGGAAAGCATAACAAATTATCACCTAAGTAATGATAACTAAAGCACCAATTAATAAATTCATATTTGTGGTGGTACACCTCAAGTCCTAACTTGAAATAAAAAATTACCAATCAACATAGGAAGTTTTATAAAATAAATCTAAGTCATGAATATTAAAGCATATTAAAAAATTTAACCACAATCTTGTTAGTAGCTATGAAAAAATCATGTTCCTGGTAAAAGATTCTCTACTTTTTCAGACTGTTTAATAAATATTTGAAGGTGATAAGATCTTAAATCTTTCCTTTTTTTCTCAGGCTCTTCTTCATGGTAGCCTTTTCTTACTCTCCCACTACAATCAATCTACGTTACTTTAAATACTGTTTAAGAAATATACATCATTATTAAACACCTATTAATTCAAGAGTCATTTATTAAGAACCTATGTGCAAGTATAAAGGGTAAGAACAAACAATTGGTCACTATTTATTAGCGGCAGGCAGATTTAAATAGATAAGCATAATTATATGATACAGGGTTTATGATAAATTGACACCTGTGAAGAAGAGGCTATCTAATCCCTTGGAATTAAGCATACCATTTAATAAACCTGGACTGGACCTCAAACTGGTCAGTCTCAAATCTACTGCCGGGCACCACAGAAGAACACTCAAGAAAAAAGAAAAACGGCAAGGTTCGTCTCCAGGAGCTCTAAATAAGGGAGACATAGACACCATTAAATCTGATTCAGAGCAGATTTCAGTGGGTGCTATAAAAAGAGCTCAACACTGTGGGCTCCGAGAGGCTGGGAGAAGGAAGAAAAACGGGAGCAAAATCCAGAAAGGTCATCAGGGGAGGCAGGTTTCGAAGCAGGCTTTCAAGGCAGACCAGGGCTTCGATAGCAGATGCCAATGTGAAACAGTACAGATAAACTGTTCTTGTTATACTCAAAATTACAGCCCTTCTAACACCTCAAAGGCTTGGAAAGAAAACTAAGTGCTTCTATGCCAAGAAGACAGATTCGCCTCCCCATCTGTGGTATGTGCGGTGCATGGAAGGGGGAGGGGCTGGAGGAGGATGAAAGCCCTTCCTCACAAAGACACACTCACTAGATGCCTAGATCAGAGATTCAGGGAAATCCAGATTTAAGTCCTATTCACAGTCGCTTGGGAAGATAGAGGCCAGAGAACACAACTAAGCCCACTTTGGAGGTCCACCTTTCTTACGGCAAGACTGTCATACTGCTATACAGGTCACTCGGGGCTCAACACAGTTATTTCTTCTCTACTTCAGGATTTCCTTTTGCCAAAGGCTCCCTTCTCTCCCAACCTTCCCAACCCAGCTTCAACTTTAAAAACTGAGCTTTTCATAACATTCCACCACTCAGTATACTCACTTCATGTAATTCTGGATGTTATTTAGCTGAGTATTTCCCAGACACACTGTAATTCTCAGCATCCCTGATCAGTAGAGGTGACTCTGGAGGAAGGCTTATTTTTAGAGGAGAAAAGTGCACAAAAATGGTTAAAATCTGAGGGAGACCAGTCGATCAAGTATCGTAGCAACTGCAGAGGACACACACTGGGAAGAAGAGTGGAATGCCACGTTCACCCATGTTGCTCTCCTCTGGGATCTGAATCCACATTCTGACCTCTTGTCTAACACTGCCTTCCATTGCTCTCTGGTGTCTGAAAAAGTCTGATAATTATGTATAAAACTCCCAAATGCACTGCATTTTGAAGTTTCTTTCAGGAACTAAGTCAGGACTCATGTCTCCAAACCTCACGCTCTTACAAAAAGAAGACCAACCCGACTTCCAGATGATGCAAAAGTAAACATTTCCTACAAATAGACAGATGTGTGTCCCCTGTGACACGGTTACCTGTTTCCTTCTGAGTGCAGATTTAGATGTACCTGGCACACGCCTCAAGTGCTCAAATATATTCTGAGTTGCAGTTATTAAACTGCCACACATTCCTAAAACCACAGATCTCCTTCGTGGCTTACCATATGTTTTTCACTTTGGTTTGGCCCCTGCAAGCCAGAAGGGCATGACTTGGCTGAGGCCTTCCCATAAGAAAACCATGGAAGTATTCATCTACACATCACACTGAACTGAACCCTCAGAGTTGGAGTTAAAACATGTTTTCACTAGAAACTGTAGACTGGCAAAAATACACAACCCCATGGGAAAACATGGTATTGAGCAAGCGGCGACTCTTGTAATTCTGGCTGCATGGATTAC